TGCTCCAGCATGGGGAAAGGTGTTCAAAACTACCCACACCTATGGCATTAGCCTGCGGTCACATTGGATTAGGTTCTGCAACCAGGCAATCTTCACACAAGTTTTCTTCTATTCTGCATCTTGGGTGACCCAGTGGATTTACAAGGTAGGGAAACGTTGGGCATGGGGAGGACCATCTACACAGTTTGTTCAGTTTGTTCAACATCTTGTCACTTAAAAAAATTGGGGCATTCAGATAAAGCTGTGACTGGCGTAATAAAATGATGTCAGTAACAGATGAGCCAGACAGTTTAGCACATGGGCAATTATTTCCACTCATGGAAAAACACAGAAAGTCAGAAATTAATCTTATCATCAGCTCTTCATTCACTCTCTTTCCAAGTCTGCACGCTTCCCCTGGTCAGGCTTACCCCCACAGTAACCTGTCATGGGCCAGGGTCCCTCCAACACCTGCCCACACCATGCTGTGCGATGCAGCACAGATTCTGCAGGCTATCTTCTCGTTTCATGATCTTTGTGTGAAAGCCAAGAATCTGTTCTTTCCAACTATTTGCTTTGTCTTTATGTACTGGAGTCCTTATGTACTGGAGCCAAGACGAACTCAGAAGTCCCTTGTGACTCATTATATGCTCTTGAGTATGAACACAAAATCTCCTTTGATAATTTTGCTAATGGAAATTTTAAATAATTTATCAATTGGGTAGAACCTTCCCCATAATATTCTTGATTAAAGTTTAGAATATGCTAATGCTGTACTGAAATTTACTAATAAATTTTGCTTTCTCTATCCCACACGCATATTATTTCCAATCATATTCCATTTTCCAAAGGCATCTAGGTACCTAATGAAGACACTGTGAGCCAGGTATCTGTCATATCGAGTAGGAGGGGACTGTATCACAACCCATTTGGATGGTGTCTTTTTAACATCCCTTTGATGCAGGCACTCACGTATGGCACGAGGGTGTGCAGGAGCATTTCAGAGCACACCCTCTGCTGGGCCACACCACAAATGGTGCTTTCCACAGTTGGATTTCTGACCTGAAACAGGTGATGAGAGTTACTGTGTCAGTATTGCCTGAGTTCCCCCAAAGGAGGACCTGAAGCAGAGCTCCAGAAAGAAGAGGGGAAACATGGAAATAGGTGAGGATTGCAAGAGGGACCAGCACCCCAAGGTGGAAGGACAGAGTAGGCCAAGTCAATGGTGTGAACAGACTGTCTATTAGCACAGATGCCAAGTCAATGGTACACACAGACTGTTAGCATGGGTGCCCTGGCAGATACCAGACCCTGAGGTGCTTTCTTCTCAGTCTACATCAGAGGGAGAGTTCAGCATGATCTGGGCTAGACCTCAGATCTCTTGAGTGCTTTTGCCACTTGACTTCAGTATCAAGCACACGGCAAATATCAGGCAGAGGATAAAAACAGGGCAGAAATGCAAAAAAGCTGAAGTGTCTTTTTTTTTCCTATATACTTGGTTTTCAATTTTTTGTCTGACAGCAAACTGAGTCTGGAGAAGAGAAGGCTGTGGGGAGACCTGATTACGGCCTTTCAATACCTAAAGGGGGCCTATAGGAAAGATGGGGAAAATCTTTTTAGTAGGGCCAGCTGTGACAAGACAAGGGGTAATGGTTTTAAACTAAACCAGGGTAGGTTTAGACTAGATCTAAGGAAGAAATTCTTTACAATGAGGGTGGTGAAACACTGGAACAGGTTGCCCAGAGAGGTAGTGGAGGCCCCATCCCTGGAAGCATTCAAGGCCAGGTTGGATGGGGCTCTGAGCAACCTGATCTAGTTAGCGGTGTCCCTGCTCCTGCAGGGGGGTTGGACTAGATGACCTCTAGGGGTCCCTTCCAACCCAAAACATTCTATGATTCTATGATTCTATGAAATGATTCCAATACTTAAGTTGTTCACATGCCACATGCATCTTTTTAGCAACAGAGATCTATCTTCTGGTGCATCTTGACCTCTAAACTAAAGCCTCTAGATTATACACAAAGAGACCGTGGCAATCATGAAGCTGAGACTACCTGGTTGAACACAACATTTTATTTCTATCGTGGAACGGACAGAGCAGCTACTTGGTGGGGAACTAAGGGTATCCCATGTGAAAGTCAACGCATAGAGTTTGTATTTTTGAGACAGGTTTATTCCATCTCATGTTAGCAATCAAAATGGATGGAATTCAGTCTCTGCAGTTCAGCTAGGACCAGCTTCTTCACCCGCACAGGCCGAAGTCACCGTGATAAAAACTGATATTTCAGATTGGTTTGACTACACTCCCATCTAGCGGTGTTTGCATAATACAACTTCCCCTTCTACTTTTTTGTGACTTCACTTTTTCCATGTGGTCTTTGAATTTCCCCATGTTCTTATGATTTTTTTTCTTTTTGAGGCTCACCAAGCCAATGCAAAGTTGCGCTTTGCCAAGACATATTTATTCATCAAGCTGTTTCTGTCTGGTCTTGGAGACTAAGCAGTCTGAACATTGACTAACAAATCACATTCTACCTGGCCTTCCTAAAGGCAAGCTAAGAAGCTGAGATTAAAAACCCAGGACCTGGAACAATCTTCTCACTTATTTGTGATTCCACAGCTAGGAACGAAGTCCCCCTGCAGAAAAAGAAGGTAGAGCAGCATCTCCAGAGGATGACTGAAATAGCTGGCATTCAAGTAGCTGCCTGGCATTAAATCCAGGCCCTAGTTAGTTTTAGACGTCAACACATCTGTAGAACCCAGTGCTGACTTGATAGCCATGATGATCATCACAGTCATCTGTCACTCAGTTGTCACCCTATCTGTCGATATAATTCCATCCAGGCCCAAAAGTAATCAAAATGTAGGCTAAGGAAACACTGATCCCATCAGAGTGTGAAAGAAAGGAATGTGCAGATGAGGTTGATGACAATGACTTCTCCAAGGCTTTTGTTTGCTTGATTATCCCCTCGGGTGTTTCACTTGTCTCAGCTCTGAAAAGGTTTCTAAGGAATGAGGCAAAGAGGGGAAAACTCTCCACCTGACAGAATGGAAAGGAAGAGCTGGTATATTCAGTTGGCTAAAAAAAAAAGAAAATATGGTCACAATCGAGAGCTTTAGAAGAAAATAAAGATGGATACAAAACCTTGTGAGGTAGAAGATTCTTTAATTGGATTTCAGTGTTGCTGTGGTTTTAGGTAAGAAACAGGGTTGGTCTGAAAAGTTTGCTGATTGACACAGAAATGGGGGACACTTCCAACAGTTCAGTTGTCAGGTGTTGGCAAATGGGCTAAAAATTGGGGCGTTGAATGAACAAGAATTTAAAGAAAAATTTAAAGTTAGATCTGTGGAAAGAAATGTGTATGTCTCCCAAAGTTATGCTAAGTGGTTCAGATGCAAGTTACTGCATGGGTGTCCTTACACAGCCCTCACTGCTATAGTGTCTTGTCACCGCCCCAAGTGTGGTGGGCAACGTCAAAAAGGGGGTGCAGTCTGCATGGCAGAAGCTGACTTCTGAGCTAATGTCTAAACTCCTGCTATTGTCAATGGAAAGAAAGAGATCATTTCCTTAGAAGATTTAGCCTATAGAAAGTCGATTTGTAAAGCGTACTGTATGGATCACAGTCCAAAGCACTTATTTCTCTCTGCAGACTGTAAGAAGAGTCTGAGGTGGGTGCCCTAGATGCAAATGTTCTGAGTTAGGTGGCATTAATCCCACTGGAGATGGTTCAAATAGGTGCTGCTAAATCAGAGTGCTAGATCTGGGGAGAGAGTGGGCTGGAAAAAAAACTCCCCCAAAGTTGTATTGGTAGAGGGGGGTGTGTTTAGGGAACCCCGGGGCTGAAGACTGTCCCTCACAGTCTGTGAAGGGTCATGGATGGAGTTTGTGTTGCCAGGGTGCACGGGCTTGAAAAATGCACCCCATTAATGTGTTGCCAACAAGTCTCCCAACTCCATGCACATCTGGATAAAAAAAGAGCTGACAAGAAGAGTCCATACAGATGAAAAAAGAAGTAGGTGCTTTCTGTTCAGTTCATTTGCCGGTACAGCCTTAACCACAGTATTGTGTCCAGTTTGGGCCACAGTATATTTTTTTTTAGTGCTTTTGTACTGAACAAATCCAGAAAAGATCAGCCAAAGCCTCAGGAGTTTTGGAAAATGGGTTTTGTAATTTAGAGAGCGAAGTGGCTCAGTACACATGAGAGGAAGATAAAAAAGAGCACTATGACAAGCAGTAGGGTTTATCTAAACTGTATTTTTCTTATTAAGGGCCTGGCAACTGAATGCTCTGTGAGTTCTCAGTGACCAGAAAGAGACACTGTCACAAGATGATTCATCCTAACTGTTTTAGGGTGAATTAAACTCCTTAAATCTGGAATCCTCCATTCTACCCATTGACGAGACTGAAGGGTGAGAGAACTGGAAGGTGCTTTGGGGTGTGTTTGGGGGTTTTTGGCAGGGCGAGCATATGCTGAGGATGGTATAGATGCTCACACTTATTTTCATTGGTGGGAGGTGGATTCTTTTTCAGCCTCCTTCAAATAAGAAAAGTACCTGCATTAACGGTCATGCTACACACTGATATATAGTGAATATATAATACGCATCAATGCATATTAGCAACGGAATTATAGCTGTGTCACCATTCGAACAATCAGACCAAATTATTTTTTTCACAACAGAAAGGAATATGGCAAAACTTGTGATGGCATCTAATGAAAGGAGTTGATTTTTAATTTGCTTGCACAGACTGGAAACATGATAGAAAGCAGCCTTGTGCCAGAGAAGCAGCCCAGGCATTGCTTCAGCTTTAAGTGCTCTTCTCAGTACGTGGAGTAATACGCAATATGACTCTCAGTATTGTGCAGAACCTTTATAGAAATTGGGTGATAGGTCTGATAACGGAAAGACTTTCTTACTCTGCTTCTCTATTCTATGAAGAAACTTTCACTGTTTGAGTCTGAACTGTCAAGGTCATCACCGGTGCTAACATTTCCCGATTTATCACTAGAACAGAAGTCATGACAAAGCAAGAGTGGAAAAACACAATGGCTGTTACAGAGTTCATCCTCCTGGGATTTGGGAATGGCCCTGAGTTGGATTGTCTTCTGTTCCTGATGTTTCTGTTAATCTATGTTGTGACCATAACAGGAAACATCTGCATCATCGTGCTGATGGTGGCTAATCAGCACCTTCACACCCCAATGTACTTCTTCCTGGGCAATTTGGCCTGCTTGGAAATCTGCTACAGCTCAAATATCTTGCCAAGGATGTTGCTTGGCTATCTGGGTGGTGACAGACGCATTTCAGTCAACGGGTGCTTTACGAAGTACTATTTCTTTGGTTGCTTGGCAGCCGCAGAGTGCTATCTTCTGGCAGCAATGTCCTACTATAGGTACCTCGTGATGTGCAAACCCTTGCACTACCTCTCCCATATGAATGGCAAGCTCTGCTTCCAGCTGGGTGCCTCATCTTGGATAAGTGGCTTTCTGTCTAATTCTATACTGACATTCCTCATCTCGAGTTTAGATTTCTGTGGGCCTAATGAAATTGAACATTTTTTCTGTGACTCATTCCCAATGATAAAACTTTCCTGCAGTGATGTTCACGTGGCAGGACTTGCCACTTCTGTTGTGGCAGGTGTGTGCTCACTGCCTCCCTTTCTGTTTACCTTCTCATCCTACCTCTACATCATCATCACAGTCATGAGAATTCCTTCTGCCACTGAAAGGAAAAAAGCCCTTTCCACTTGCTCCTCACTTCTTATTGTGGTGATTCTTTTTTACTGGTCAATAATAACTGTCTACGTCCTTCCCCATCATGATACCCAAATATCCCCCAACAAAGTCTTCTTGGTTTTTTATACCACTCTCACTCCCTTGGTCAATCCTCTCGTCTGCAGTCTGAGAAACAAAGAGGTCAAGGAAGCTCTGCGAAAACAGACATGTAAATTGCTGGCTTTCAGAGGACTGCTTCCCGTTAAATAAAAAGGGGGTAACAATCCTTAATGAGCCACAGGTTTAGGCACAATTGCGTGGCATGTGAATCATAGAATCATAGAATCATAGAATGTTTTGGGTTGGAAGGGACCCCTGGAGGTCATCTAGTCCAAACCCCCCCGCAGGAGCAGGGACACCGCTAACTAGATCAGGCTGCTCAGAGCCCCGTCCAACCTGGCCTTGAATGCTTCCAGGGATGGGGCCTCCACTACCTCTCTGGGCAACCTGTTCCAGTGTTTCACCACCCTCATTGTAAAGAAT